TTATTATATGTTTATATTTTTAAAATTTTAATGTACTAACAAATGTGTGGAGCAGTATAGCCAGGCTTGGCTCTTGCGCCAAAAAAATTAACAATCAATCAATCAATCCAAAACAAGGGACTGTCTCTCACCCCTAACCATCCTACTCTAGAATCAGTCACCTTCTCTTTAAAAAAAAGTTGCAACCCCTCTCCGGAAAGACGCAGATTAGCGCCAACATTCTATAATCCACCGCCAACAGTAGTCAGACACTATAATTATGTCTAAAAAATTTTAATAAACACTATAAAATACAGTTTTTTAAAATTGTCTTCCTATAAAGTATCTGTAACATGCTGATCTACTTGAAATATTATTTAAAGAAATATTCTTCTAAGTGGAAGGGGAATAGGGTTCCCCGAAAACACTTTAGATTTATAAGGGTTAAATGAGTCAAAAAAGTTTAAAGACCACTGTAATAAGCGAATGAACTCAATTCCAAAGTTTTTACTTCTATATACGGGTTCAGTTACTAAAGACCTCTACTGCCAACAAGTGATCCTCCCTTCGTGCATTTGTTTCGATATGTCATTGATGCAGACTTCATTTTTATGGACGGTAACGCAAAATTACATTAGACATTCTATGGAGGAGCTACAAGAAACATAAGGTATCAATAAAACAAATTGGAAAGCGTGTTCCTTTGTGATTTAAATTCCATAGAATTTATATGATATTTTATAAGATATCTTTTAGCACAATTATGTCTTCTGGAGAACATACAACCAATAAAACAGATACTTCTTTAATGATAATGATGGTGTCGTATCCATGACGGGACCAAATCAAATAGTACCATCGTCCCAGATGACTGTTCTGGCAATCTCTTCAATATTATTCACATAGAGATTTGTTGACGAAAAGAGGACCCCTATTTTTTGTTAGAGCAGCAAGAATAGCTGGACAGTCAAAAATATGAGCAGGTATCAGCTCTGTATCTAAACAGTTAGATACAGAGCTTCTTTAATAATAAATCCTTATTAACTGTCATAGTGTATGGTGTTGAATATGAAGAGACAGTGAGATTATTTCAGAGAGGTTAACGGGAGATCCGGCACGCGGAGATCCGGAACCCCAGCAACAAGGAAAGACTCCCAGGATTCCAAAAAGAATGCGTATAACCACGATTTTTCTGTAGCTTCCATTTTAGGTCATTGAACCTTCAGGTCTGATGCAATCACTCTCGCTCGGAAGATTGGAACGTAATTACCTTCAAAAGTTTATCTGGGGTGCTGAGGCCAGCTGGGTGTTCCCCACGACCAATTGCGTTATATTTTTGTACTGCGTTTATGTCAGCCATTATAAGGTTCTGGACGTAACATTTTTCGTGACACATGGTATACTAATTTACCACTTGCAGAAGATTGTTAAAAAAGAAATTAACAATAGTTGGTACACCTAGAAAAAATAAAAGGGAGATACCGTTATCCTTCCTTAGTATACAAAATCATGTAACATCCACTCTTGGGTTTCATAATAAAATCCCGCGACGACATTAGTTTCTTATTATAGAAAAAAGAAAGAAAAAGCATTTTACTTATGTCTACTATGCATGAAAGTGACGATACGTTAATATATACCAAACCTGAGGAAACCCGAAGTTGTGAATTTTTATAATATAAACAAAAGCGGTGTTGATATCACTGATGAAATGTGTAGAATATATGATGTGTGGCGAATATATAATCGTTGGCCACTGCGAATATTTTACTAGCTATTTAACACTTCTGAAATTCATGCTTCCATTGTCTATCATTCGGTTTTTCCTTCGGTTGATAAAAAACTTAGACATTCATGATTATTAGAGGAGATTGGAAAGGAATTTAAGCAGCCACATTGTGATATGAGATCAGAATTCCCGAACCTAAAAAAAAACTAAAAAGAAGACTTACTGACTTAACCTGCTAAAAAGAGCATTAATCCGCCAAAAAAGGAGCTCTAAACTGTCTGTAGACCGGTAAAAAATGTAAAAACTTTTTTTTTCTAATGGCAGATTATGAACAGTTATTACAGGGTTCTTCAATCTACCTAGTACATCACCGAAAGCTGGTATCTCTTTTTAGTGCGGCACCATATTGACAGATACCTATCGCCGCAGGAATTTTTGACAACCAGTTTCCTCCCTAGAGGGAGGCACTTGAGCTCTGACGATGCGAACCTGTACTAAGATTTAATTTTGCCTAGAGCTTCCCCTAGGGATCTTTTACATGCCGTATAATTATACGACATAGCCGGTGTCGATTTTCTGCAACATGAAAATCCATTGACTTGGGCCGAGGTCGAACCCGCAACCTTGGGTACAGAAGGCCAGCGACAAACCAACCACGCCACCCAGCCGACATTTAAAACTGTTTTTGTCTTCAATGTAAGAAACATATGTGCTTAAAACTTATTAATACAGTCTGTTCTGAATGTTTAGAAAAGGATTAAAATATTTTTTAATACTTTCTATCATCCTTAACATTAATTACAAATTAAGTCAATTACTGGTATATATATTTAAATCTATTTCACGAAAAAAATATAAAGTTATGCTTTTTAAAATAAAAATATTGTAGGTTTAGCTTATATCAATATTAGTTTCATCTGTAGGCGATGAATTCAACAATTTTATTTGTATAATTCAGAACATATTTTGTACTTTATAATAATGCTTCATAAATGGCTTAAAATTTATTTTCATTATTAAATAAACACGCTAAGAGTTTGGGGTGTTCTCAACATCTCGCAACCAATGACGGTGCAAAAACAGGCGCGAGTGATTCGGGGCTAAGGAAGTTATACTTTACAAGGGCTGTTATGTTAATGTTTCTATTCTTGAAATAGGGTAGATAGCCTATCAAGATTTAAAACTATTACTTCGATTCTGTACCGTGATATAAAGTATCTTAGGAAAAAAAACTATGAAAATGTATAAAACTAAATTATTTTTCGTTTGATAATTCGTCAAACTTTTGTTTGTGATTAGCATAGAATTTCATAAAATCTGCACTACTTTAAAATTCGAATTTAAACAAATGTATCTATACAACTAAGTGTATCTCCTCACAAACCGCACGACGCAGAAACTCGTCGAAGGTACCAAATGATTGGGAATGATCCCCGAGGAATCCATTTTGATCATTTACATTCCGATATTCCAATTAGTTAAAAAAGATATTAAATAAAAACCTTAAAACGCATAATTAGTGCCATTTTCCCCGCCAGGAGCCAAGTTCAAAATTTTCGAATTATTTTTTTTTCAAACGTTTTTAAAACGCGATTTAATTTTATTTATGAGACTTAGACAAAAAGTAATTACAGAATCGGAAAGATCATTTTCTTCGCCACGATACGGTATAATTTATTTTACACAAAATAATTATATTTTCTATTTTTTACGATTTTTTAAAAATGAGTCAAAATTGATACGTTTTTATGAGTAAGATTTCTAAATCGCTCCGCTTGCATTTTCTTTCGCGTTAATGAAGTGAAAAAGAGTATTGAAAAAGAGTATTTTGAAAAATAGTATTAGAAGTGCTGATTTTGTGAAAGAAAGGGAAAATTTATAAAAGTAGAGAAAGCCCGTGCAACGCCGGGCCATGCCGCTAGTATATTTTTAAGTACATAATTTTTCTTGGTTGTTACAATAAGTGATAATTTAGAACTACATCATTTGGTCTGCTTTCTATTTCTTGAATATCTTGAATTTTTATCCTCAGATTATGGCCATAACTATTAATATTCTATCCGAATTGGCTCACTTATTCACTATCTTTTTCCATGAGATATACTTGCAAATTTTAGTTTGCAGATTCCTTAAAAAAGAAAGACTACGAACTGTACACTGTATGAGAAATTCATATAGATGAATAATTCTGTTTTGAGAAAGGATATCAGTATAATTCAAACCCAAAATTACGTTTGTTTGAATTCTATTTTCGAATTATGCAAAACAGTTAAAAGGAGAGTAATTAATTTTGTATATGTAACCCATAATTCATTATGCTATTACTACATCACTTATGGAAACAAAATTACAGTCGAACCTGTTTTTGTGCAGTCCTTTTTTATGCGATTTTATTTTTGTGCGACCGCATAAAAGAAAATTTCTGCAGTATTTCGACGAATTGGCTTGTTATATGTAAGAATTCATGAAATTTTCGAACATTTTTTTTGTGCGGTTATTTTTATGCGGTTTTTATCAACCACGCAAAAACAGGTTCAACTGTATTGCATCAACCAACTGCTAAAAAACATCAATACAAATACTACTAACATTTGCTTCTCTTACGTGTGATTAATAAAAACTCATTCTTTGAGATTATCAACGTATATTCACGTTATATTTTCGAATGTATTGCGTGACATATGATATATTGCGTGGTAGAGCATTATCACGTTGGAACCATACATTCCGGAGGTTACTCAACTGTGAATTCTCTAAAAAAGCGGATAGCACGTCCATCAGTAATGACAAGTATTGGAATCCCGTTAACATGCCCTCGCAAAATACCGGACATTCCTTTTTTTGAAAATTCAGCACCAGATATTATACACCAGTAACTTGTCAAGCTTCAACAGTATATCTAGGATTATAGACCAGAAATAAATGTTCTGTTTATTGTGTCTATAGTAATATATGCATGAAGCATGCCTCATGTCCTCTTCGTTCTTTCATCTGTATATGTCAAATTTTCCAACCGGACTGGTATCTTCACGAAAAAAAAATAATTGCCATGACTTTTGCCCCAACCCTCGTATATATATATGTTGTTCGAATTTTCAATCGTTAAAATAAAATTCTTTCTATTCATCCGTTCAAGTTCAAATACATTTATTAAATCTTGAAGTGGATGCCACTTGATATTAATATAGTTTTTTCCAATATTAATTTATTAGTTAAATTAAAAAATGAATATATATTAACAAACAAAAATAACAATCTAGCAGAATATATAGAAAGGAAAAGCATTTGCTGTGTTCCTGTAGCGAATTGATATCGCATTAGACTTCTAATCCAAAGGTCGTGGGTACGAATCCCACCTGGGATGGCTTAACTTCTGAGGATGGGATTTCTTTTTTACTATACTATTTTATTAGAATAACTAAATTAAATTAATGAATAAATAGTAACAAACAAAAAATAGTCCCACACCATATATAAAAAAGAAAAATTGTTTCTCTGTTTTGCCACTTAATATTGTGATTCTGTCATATGTATATACATATTTATATTAATTGTACCTATTTAATAAAAAGTAACTAAAGGAATTTTGTTCTTTAACCTAAGTAGGAATCGACTTAATTTTTTTTTTGTTGTTGTTACCAGTTTTTTTACTAAATCTATGATGCTGTACAACTTTGTAATTGACTTCCTTCTTGTATCTAGTACCATTTTTTAGACAAGAACGGTAATCCCAAATGTGTCCACATTACACTAGCTAGACCCCCACTTTTAGGACTATAGCTCTTATCGTTCATAAATTATTGGAGTGACAACGAACTGAAGCGGTCCCACTGTTTATAAAGTTCAAAACATGTTATGTGAACTCGATGATAGCTTTAACTATTTTTTTATTCAAAGGTAAAAAAAAAAATGATTACTTCTTACTGTTAACATTAACAAAAACTTCTCCTTGGAAGAAACATTGTCAGATAAAGTGATGAACTATTATTTCATTTATTGGGATAAAATGTATATATGTATAATAATTTCTATCCGTAATAACGCCTTTTCTATCCATAATAATTATTGCCAATTTCTTAAATTTATTTATGAATTATAAAATTGGTAGTATTAATGTGTGAAGTGTTGTATCATTTTGGAATCCATATTAAATTGGTCATTCTTCAATTCCTACAATTAGCTCACAATCTCTATGTATTTATACATTTATATATTTATTTATTTATCTTGGTGGAATTTTCAATCGTTAATAAAATACATTTTAAAGCGCTCAATTGAGCTGAAATTTTATATACAGGATTATTTTGGATGACAATACAATAATATAACAATAATTAATTAAAATTGACTAAAACTAATTATTTAAAGAATTACAAATACAACCACGTTGGCATCATTTTTGGCGACTTGTGGCAAAACTTGAAGGTTTTATTCTCACGAGTTAAAGTATTCAGTTAAACTGAAATTTTATATAGGCGATTGTTTTGTATGACAATACGATACTTTAATGATAATTAATAAAAATTAATTACCACGTAATGTTGTGATTCTGTCCTATGTATATGCATATTTATATTAATTGTAATTATTCAACAAAAAGTAGCTAAAACAAAATTTTTCTTTGTTGATCTAAGTAGGAATTCTTTAATTTTTTTTTTTTTTTATGTTACTTGTTTTTTGAAATAACTCACCTAGAATAACTTATCTTCATTTTATGGACAGTCAAAATTAGGTGATGTCGATTTCTCACACAACTTTAACAAACTACACTAATTTTAACTATATCAACAAAGCCTTTTTCTCTATTGGTGATTGGGATGAATAGCACGCATGTGCAAGATAACGTTATTGAAAAAATTAGTCTAAAATTGTGAAATTTGGGGTCACGATCCATAATGGTGCGATGGCGTGAGTCAATTTTCCCCATTTTCAAAAATATGCTAATCATCCTTTAACCCAGTGATGTGGAATTATTTATTTATTTTTCCCAGACTGGTATGAATCCCCTTCATTCTTCATGTCTGCTTGACGCTGAGTTTCGAATATACCCTTCATGTTTAATAGAATAACACAGTATTTAATTGAGAAGCATAATATTCACACCTGAATAACATATGTATTTAATTGAATAATATATATTTAAATGACAAATGCATGTATTTATTTACGAAACATAAGTCAAATTTGAAAAGTGTGTTTTAAAAGTATAATTGTAACGAGTCTATCCGCAAAGCTTCTACTAATCTTTAAGAAAAAAAAAATTTTTTTAACTGTAATCTCTGTTGAAAACTTTCCTTGGTGAAGAAAACGAGATTTAGGTAAATGTGTGTACTTCTTTTTAAACGTTGGCATTAGTGTACGCGATGATTGATAGTTGGCGATTAAAAGTTGATTACATTGTGAACAAGCTTACAACTGGAGGTCGTATAGCTAAGCAAGATATTTAAAGAGAATTTAAGCGTAGGAGTCAAGGGAGTTCCAGGATTCAGTTAAGTAATTTTAGTTATATGTTTGTTGCATTAAGCCTATGCGATTGCTCTTCCAGGTTTATTATTAAGTACATCTCCCCCCTACCTTTAATTGTGTTGGTTGATTAAGGGAAAATAGTAATAAAACTGTGCTTATAAAAGTTACTATACCTTGGTATAAAATGGTACTGGAATTACTGGTATGAATCCCCCATACACCAACAACAGATGGATTGTTATGTAATGATCTATAATTTTCATATATTATATTGATTTAATTGGTTTTTCTAAGTGACATTGAACAAATGTTACTTTTTTCTATTGATTAAAGTAAGAAAATTAAAAAAAAATCATTATTATTATTTATTTATTTTTATTTTTCCTTTTTTTTAAGGAAGAAACTTTTGTTTTAGTCTACCAAAATAAGGTAACATTATCAATTTCTTATATAGTGCGAATAATTATTAAAAATAAATTTTTTATACGAAAATTCTTTTTCTCTGTGAAATAATTAGCATTGCAAATCCTAACTTTTCAGATATATTTTCATTCATAACAACATTTTTTGATTACTTGAACTTTTAATTAAAAAGAGTTGGTTGATTTTACGTGCCAACCAACTGATTAATGGTTAAATTTAAAGTAACTTATAGATTAGATGTGTATATGTGTATAACAATACTGAATTATAAGTATCGATTCGTTTTGATTATAATATACGAGTATAAGCTTTCTTTGAAACAATGATTCATATTGATGAAAAGGATTTTCCAATCATGTTATATCAAAATAGATTTCGAAATACACAACAAACAAAATATAACTCATCTACGAAAATGTTTATTAAATTTTCTCAGTTTTCATTTAAATCATTTTAAAATTAAGTGAATGAAATTAATATATGACAACACCAACTATATTTTAGAGCAGAGTTAGGTAGGTATTAGTTCTGCAGTAAAATTAACAAAAAATTAAAAAAGCTAAAGTTTTTGATTTTTTTAAGAGCTGTGTTAGTGATTTCAATATTATTACTTCAAAATAGTTTTTAAAAAAATGAATAGTGAGTGAATATTTACGTCGCACTGTTAAGCTACACGAGGTATTTTGACGACGGGCCTCGTAATTTTGAACCATGGTCAAGTGACGAGGATGACACCAGAGCTGGCAATCCCTCTCCTAACTACCACACCTCACCAATGAGAGGATGTTTGAACTCTCGACAGATTTAACGTGCATCGCTCCCCTTCACGGCAGGTCTTTAGTAAAACTAGATTCGAACTTGTGACATGCCAACCACGATTCGATACCTTGACCACTAGGCAACCTCGGTCATTAAATAAGATGAAAGACGGCTTGATTATTTTTTGAATGGGTTTGTAATATACATAATTCACAAATAATTAATTTTATTAGCCAAAAAATACTTTTTTTCGTTATTATTTCATTGTTTTAGTTGATTTAAATAGTTTATCTAAAAATGTTTTCTTAAAAATGAAATTTCTGATTAGAATTGGGTAATTACGAACTATCACAACCGCATTCGCGACATAATTTGAAAGAAAGCACATGGTTGCAAATTCAGCGCGTACGACACATGCGAGATAGGGGGTGCCAACTTGGCAAGTTATCTTGAACGTTGGCATTGTTGCAATAATGCGTAAGTGCTCAGAATTGTTTTACGCTTTAACATCGATTCCCAATTCATTTTTTGTTAATTATATTACTGAAAGAAGGGAAAAACGAAAAAAAATTGGAGTTTCTATTTTCAAAAAACATATTCCATTACAATAATAATAGTTTCACACACACATACAATTCTGAAATATTTGGAACTTAAGTAACAAATAATTTACCCAAAAATGTACGTTTACATGTGTTATTTATTTATTAAATTTTTACATCAATAGAAGAAATCAAAGATGATTTTAAAACAATCCCAAAGATCTAAAGACATTCTGTACATCCATGTTTACCGATCTCTCTTCTTTTTTGCTTAGGGGGATAATCACTTCATCACAAATTTTATCCTGCACTTTGTTAAATTTTTCAATAACCCACCGGTAGAAGGCTGCATTTTTGTCGCCGCATGACTTCTTCACGCTTTCCACAAAACAATCGGACACTTTATTATATAGTCTGGAAAAAAATTAAAATAAGAATAACTCTATAAGCTTTTATAATTTAATCAATTTTTTTTTAAAAAAATGTTTATGCAAAAATAAGAATTAATAAAAGAATATTCTGATAAAAGAACTTTCTAAAAAAAATATGTAATAGTATTTAGCAATAACTATTTTCGGACTTTTAAAATGCATTTTCATTTATTTATAGAAATAAAACACAGGACAGCAAATATCTTTGTGAAAAGATTCATCAATATAACAAACAAAGTTATGAGGCAAGAAAATCCATGTTACGCAAGTGTGAAGATAGAAAATGTATACTAAATCTTCCCATTTTCAGAATCGAATGGCTTACGAGAAATACCATCCGAAATGGTAACCGAAAAGAAATTATTAGATAAGATTCCAATATGAAGGTGTTTGATATTTGAGCTGCCTTTCTATGAAAATCATATCAGATTAAGATCCACCGAGTTAGGTGGTAAAGACAATAATTGGAATTCATGTTTATGCTCCTCAAACCCTCCTAAAACAAATCTAGCCTTAAGACATGAGATCTTGTCCTACAGGAAGATTCCATTTATTGTCGGAAAAACATACGCCATATAAGGGTGCAACTGTTCCACAATTATGCATTGACAGGCTAAGACTTTCATGGTCCTTCCACCAAAACTAAGGGTACCAGAATCCCTCACGACAAAGTTTTCCAAAGTATAATACCGCCACCACAAACCTGTGTATGGCCTGCTGAACATGGTGGAGCAACTGTTCAA